CCTTTGGACCCATACATCAACGGGCAAGTGCACCAGCTCGTACTGTGGCATGAACAGAACTACACAAAAAATAAAACGCAAGTATCGAATTTTTAAACCGCGAACTATGAACCTGGTGGGGTCGAGGTGTTAAAAAGTTGACCCAACGTCGAAGCCCTACAAAAAGCTGGGTGGTTTGGTTTTGTTTTGGAGTGTTTGGAGAGCTCCCTGTGCTGCCAAAGTGTCCAAAGATCGCCTTTCAAGATTAGAAACGCATTAGTGACCGACATATCCAGGTTTAAAGTCTACCTCTAGAAGAAAAAGAAAGAAAAAAAAAGAAGATACCAACAACAAATTGAAAGCCAGAACCTTATGGGCATATCATGACCACTGTGACCTTGTTACACCGGGCTCTATATGTAAACACAATGTTTAGAACAGACTTTACAGACAGCTGCCTGGCAAAGTTTCCAAAGTCAAGGTCGTCAAGTTTCGTTTTGCGCAGATCGCCCTTGTTAATTTCCCCTAGGTCATACCTATTACTAAATATTTTATCGCTTAGGTCAGTGAACTTTGACCTCAAACGTATTAAGATTTTAAAAGGGCAACTACTAAAGTCAGTAAGTATCTCTACCTGTTCCTCCTAAGAGTTAGAAAAAAAACAAAAAACAAGCCTCAGATGGCAGTCTGGTTGGAGTAAAAGAAGCGCATATATTTATACATGTATTTATATGAGAACGAGCATCTCGAGCAGGGAAAGGGAAAGACGGACAAACCACAGAATGAACGACAAGATGTTGGACCTACCAGTGGCGCCCTCCAACCGCCCTCACAGTGTGTGGCTCGGTGACAGATGGACAAAACGGACAAAACAGCAACTGATGTAGATGTGGCTTTTTTGGGTTGATCTACAGGCTAAGAGAACTCAGAACAACTCAACCGCGCCTGTGTTTCTTTAATGTTCTTGTAGGTTGTTTTTTTCTAAAAATGTGTTTGTTTTGTTGATGTTTATTTAGTTTGTTTTGTTGTTCAGCATTTCCTGACCGATGTTTTTCTTTATTTGAGTAAAGAGAAGCACATCGACACAATAGTAGTTATTTAAATAGTTCAGGGAAAAAGTAAAACAGACAATCAGAAACAACAGAAGGAAGATTTTAAAAAAGTGGGACCTAACGGGAGAGGAGCCCTGGAGCCCTCCAACCACACAAAGCATGTGAAAGACGATCGAAGACGAGTATTAAATTTAGCACAATTTTGAGATCTCTACGCAGGTCAAACCCTCTCCTCCTCTTTTTCCCCTCCCATCTCACTCCACACACACACACACACCCACACCCACACACACACACTACACACGCACACACACACACACACACACACACACACACACACACACATCCCCCACTGTCGGTTTATGGTTATTGTTTTTGTGTTTCTTCTTTTTTCCTCCATTTGCATGTTGCACCAACTCATGCCAGTAGTGAAATCAAACAGAAAACAGCAAACACCATGAGACGTGTTATTTATCTGTTTGCAAGAGATAAAGAAAAGCACATCCGCACGCTAACGGTAATTTAGCGCGGGCGGGAGAAAAGATAGGGGGAGGGGGAGGGGGGAGAGAGAGAGAGAGAGAGAGAGAGAGAGAGAGAGAGATGAGTGGCGAATAAGCTGAAGCAACAACAGGCGATCGACATTCAACCCCCACTCGTGTGCACCCTGTCAATACAAGAACGGAGTATCATTTACCTGAAAGATGCTGCAGCACAGGAATGAACTTCTTCACGCACCCACCCTTGCTCCAGAACAGCTTGACAGAAACAACAACAAGCATGTCGCGAAAGACATTGCTGAATACACCAAAGCCAGACAGGACACCGCCGTAATTGCGTGGCTTCTCTTTTGATTTTGTTTTAGTAACGGTTTTTCGGCACTCTCAGGACAATTAGGTCATATAAGTGCCGAAGACTGAAGATGTTACAAGAGAGAAACAAACACACACCAAAAAAAAGAGGAGAGAGATAAGAACGATAGATATTTGATAGGAAAGAAGGAGCAAACCGCACCAGAGCACCCGCCAACCACTCACGTGACACTTCTCTTACTGAGATTGATCATTTCTTCGAGCACAACAAAACACATCGTCCCAGCATTTTCGCCAAAACAAGGATATTCAATATGTTGAATATTAACCCATGATTAACCTTTCACTATTACGAGCGGACACACAGCTGATCTTGATTGACAATTCACTAGGTTAAACATCCGAGTTTCAAGTGGGTAACTACGTGAATGAATTGATTTAACGCCGCTTTCAATACTGTCCGGTTATTCAAGCGGCGGCGGCGGCGGCACCTCCGAATTTAACGTTCATCTCAGGCAGGACCACGACACATGGATTGGGAATCTCTATAAAACGAATAGAGTTCAAGAATGCAGTCAGGGATTAGAACAAAGGCCGCTCGTTCCGTTGTCCAGCACGATATCAACTGAGCTACAAGTTTCAAGGAAACAGCTGCTCTGTGGATGCCCCACAGCAGACAAAATAAGCAAAGAGCGACAACAACGTGGAAAGGGTAGTAAACAACAACATAAAAGAAGAAGAGGATGACAACACGTGCGGTGTGTACAAAGAGGAAATAACTACGCTGCAACATCTGGTTTCGTTTCAGGCAATGCTCTGACTGACTGACTGGTAAAGTTTGCGTTACCACGAACCACAAATAACCAGATCCCACCCTCCCCATCCCCCACCTGTTTTTCTTTTTCCCTGACGGCCATTGTAACCCCCCCTTTCTCCATTTCAATCAACTCACCCAAAGTAGATACAATGAGCAAAATGAAAGACCCGCTTGCCTATGCTCAAGTTACATTTTCTCACAGTGTAAGAGCCAACTTTCTGCCCAACCCCCGCACCCCCATCCCACTCCACGCAATGGTATAGTGTTCAAAGTCCAAGAAAAATATGTCACATAGAGACCTTATCTTATGTTCACCTAGTTTCAATGTGCTTCACTTATAGCCTGCTGATCAGGATGACTTGTGCTTTGCTAGTTCATACAGTCGAGCTGATGGTGGGCCCCGATTTTATCAGTAATTGGGTGCTAAATGGGCTGCTTCAAGGGAAGCTGAGAATGTTTCTGAGTTCTTGGGTCTGCTGGGGCAATAATATAGACTGTAAAGCGCATAATTTGTTGTTGAGCAAGGATATCATGTACTATACTGTCTATACAAATGCTTATTATTATTATTATCATCATTAAATAGAGATAATGGCTACTCTCAATGCACGAAAGATGATAGGATGGTGGACAGATGAGAAGTACTGGTGGGATAGTAAATTGTAAGACAAAAGAAAAGGTGATAGGTTTTAGTAGTGGGCGAGTAAGACGATAAGCAATTGTCTGACGCTTAAAAGTAATAGTGCAAGTGAGATGACTGAAAGTGCCAGTCAGACAGTACAATGATAAGACGGCTGACTGTAAGATGATAGACAGTAAGTAATGGTGCCACACAGAGCACAGTTGACATTATATCAATAAGATTATAAATGCTTTACCTCCTCCCAACAGACACAACAGATCATTTAGGAAGCAAACTGCTCTCTACCTCTGAGGGCCAACCCAGGCTCCGTGAGATACAGCATCACAGCAGGCAAACAAAGATATTCGACAAAGACTCACCTTCATGGACATTGAACTCATATCTTGGACATGCAATGGCAAATAACTCATTACACCATAGAGTTAGACAAGAAGAGCTAATGACAAAAAGACCCTATATTCAGTAGGGTTGTTGGCAACATATATGGAAAAAATAGTTGGTCACACAATTGTACTGTAGGCATGACTGTCAGAGAGAAAGTAAGATAAATATAAGACAAGACACAGTACAATATATAGTAACATATAAACAACAGACATGACTGTCAGAGAATTACAAACATTAACCAATCAGGATTTTCATCAGCTTTTTCCCCATTTTAAAGTAATTTGTACCAACAGCAATGCATGATTATTTACCAATTTATCTCTACAAACATGCCTTTTGATCCTGACAAAGAGTATCTCTATCCTGACTACCTGAATGCTTTATTTCTGAAGATCAGATCTTTTGGTAAATTTTTTAACTGTAGTAGACAAACCTGGAGCTCCTACCCTGCTCTTTAAAAAAAAAGGCGGGGGTATGGAGGGTGGAGAGGAAAATGGGGAGAGGGGGGCATGATAGCATGTGTTTCACAGAGAGATAGAGATAAGATAAATAGATCAATGTAGATCTAGATCTATATACCTTTATTTATACTCATTTATATAGATCTATATATGCATCATGTATGGATTATGTTATATATATAAAAATATAACACGTTCTCTTATAAATGCATATTTCTTATCGGCTATCACATGCATCAGATGCACAAAGTGTATGTTTTCGGCCGAAATGAATAAAAGCCACCAGCCACCCAAAAAACATTTCTTTTTACGCATGTTTGTATGTTTAGCATTTCAAAAAGCTGATTTTCTCAAGAGTGCTAAAATCGATGTAGCGAGTTCGGCATTTCGCAGTCCCTCATGATATGCACATATATTATGAGAGACAGACAGAGAGAGAGAGAGAGAGAGAGAGAGAGAGAGAGAGAGAGAGAGAGAGAGAAGAGAGAGAGAGACAGAGAGACAGAGAGAGAGGGGGGGGGGGTTGAGGGAGGGAGGGAGAGAGATAAGAGAATTGAACTTGAACCTAGACAAGTCGGGTAATAAAACGGCACCGCGGGCGTAGACTGGTAGGTATGATCTAGACAAACATTTGAAAATAAAATAATTTAATTTATTTTACACCCTACCTACGCTACGATTCGAGGAGCGTTTGTGTCTGGATAGACATGCACACCACAGGAGAGGAGATGTGAATATTTTATATTATTTAAAGCCTACACAACAGATCCCACGTAGATTTAACTCTGACTTTAGATTCTACTTCTAACTTTACTGCACTGCAACTGCGATGCCAAAGTTCACGTTACTTACGTCTTTGTCGTTGGGGTAGTAATGATATAATGTTGTCGTCGTTGATTTTTCTCTTACAACTGAGCGTTGCAAATTCACTTTCGTCTGAACCTCTGACCGTTCTCTTGCACAGCAGCACGACGACAGCGGCCGTCACGAGTATCCAGTGTAGACTTTGAAAGGAGCTCGAGCGGAGAAGCTTCACGCTCACACTCAGGCGGAAAGAAAACACGCTCGGCCTCTAGGCCTACCTTGATAAAATTATTTCTTTAACGGTCAAGGACATGACCTAACATGACCTTTTTATGTGGACCATAAAAAGATGGTCTCTCCTGAGAAAAGTATATACAGTCAATGGCAGTTTCGTAAAAACCATAATTTCATCAGATAGTATTAATTATTGTCTACAAAGTGATGAAAATAAACCAGTTACAGCTTTTGAGGTTGAAAAAGTAAGAGTTATTAATTGATTGAGGAAATAAATTTGTTTTTGCAAAGTTAATCTACTTCCGGCGGAAACAAAGTTTGCCACAATAATGGACGCCCGCATCTTCCGTACTTCAAATACGATCATGATAAGTTTGTGTTTTCGTTTAACACAAAGAGAAGAGCTTTGATTTTTTAAGTTCAGCTGTTTATTTGCAGGACTTTTGTAAGTGTTGATTTATAGGGACTCATTGAAATGATATTCTGTATCCTTCGCTGCCAATGTAGAATCTCTATATCTATATATCTTTATCTAGATATTAGATCTAGATTTCTAGACTAGAAAATCTAGATCTAGATACATACTCACATGAATAATTTGTTTGTTGTTATACTCTGCTGTCTCCAGTCTCCAGCCAGTAGATATTTTAGAATCTAGATCTAGATTTAGATCTAGAGACATTCGCCCTTGGCGCGACCATGCCCTGAGCGGGACCAGTTCCCCATTTTTCCTTCTGTGCAGCTCGTGTGCAATCTGTGTTATTAGAGTTACGTGCCTTGTCTAGTTCCACTTTTGGTCAATCCTTTTCCGAGAATGTCAGTCGTCTGCTAGTGCAGCAGTCGAGTTCGAAGTGAAAGGCTTATCAGAAACATTCTTGATTCTCAGAGAAGTTTTCTTCAGTTATTAAACTAGAGTAGCTGGCCCAACCCGCGACCACTTGTCTCTGTACCCTCTGTTATTATTAATAAGATGGTAGTGTCAATTGCCACAGAGTAACGCGGTGGCAATTGACAAAAATTGACTTTCAATTGCCACCGAGTAAATTGGAGCTCTTTTGCGTTGGTGGGTAGGCTAGATCTAGCTTATTGTGCTTGAGTGCTCGGTGTTGTGCATTCGCCTCTCTGTCCCTCTGTGTCGTGTGTTTGTGTGTGTGTGTGTGTGTCTTTTCCCCACCCCCGTCCCCCGATTTATGTTCCCCGATATAACGTTGCCTGTGTTGGTTCTACACCAAAGTGTAGGCTTAGGCTAGCCTAGATCTAGGCCTACGTCTCATTGAAAACACGCCAAGTTGGTACCGTAGCTCTAGACTAGATGCTCGTTCAATGAAATTAGTTGAGAACAAATTGACCCATTTCATTAGACACACATTATGTATAAGTATAGGCTAAGGCGATTGTCAAGATTTCCGCGTTTAATTCCGATGTGCGTTTTTCATAGCCTCAGGTATGTTTCGCTTTGATCCAAGGAGATTAAAAGTAAGTTCTAAACTCCTTGCTTTGATCCCTAACCCTAACCCTAACCATTAGGGTTAGGGTCAGGGTTAGGGTCGGTCAGGGTTCCCTTAGGGTTAGGGTTAGGGACCAAAGCGAAACATACCTGAGGCTATGAAAAACGCACATCGGAATTAAACGCGGGAATCTTGACAATCGCCTAGGCTAATGCTAAAGATAATGTTGTTTTCAGACTTGACACCGCTTCACTCGGTGGCAATTGACAAAAAGTCAATTTTTGTCAATTGCCACCGCGTCACTCGGTGGCAATTGACGCTACCTAATAAAATAATTGTTTTCATCATAATTTGATAAAGAAATGATTTTACTAGACTTCTAACCTTTAAATGGTGTACTAACAACTTTCTTGCACCTGTCATATCTGTGCGCGCATGGTCGCGCCCTGTTCCGTATGCGGTCGCGCTGAGGGCATGCGGTCGCGCCAAGGGCAGAGCATTAACCCTCATCCTGCGGGAGCCGGGTTTATGTCGCCCGATAAGCCTATTTCGGCACCTCACGTATGTTCTGGTCCCGAATCAGTGTAGCCCCTGGCTCAGCGCACGTGCAGCGCATCATCTTACGTATCATTCGGGTCCCTAGTCGGATCCCCATTCACACAGGTCAAGTGTGTGTGCGTCAGTCTGCTTGAGTTTGTGTGCGTTTGTGGCCTTCTTCTAGAACCGCCTGCGTTGGTTCGTAATCGAGGCATACGTCTCATTCAAAACATGCCAAGTTGGTAGCTCTAGATGTTCGTCCAATGAAATTATAGAAGAAATTGACCCACTTAGACATGAGGAGCTCGAAAGGATAGTCAGGAAACAAGACTTCCATTTTTCTATACAAAATATTTCAAATGAGCTTGATTTTGTATGAAATGATACTACCTGATAAGAAATTTAAGCTTGTTTGATAGTTTTGAATACCATTGTGCAGGTACAAAGAACAATTTGAGTGTAAAACATTCGGAAATTGACCTAAATTATCCCTTTTCAAACCTCAGGTTCATAACAACAAGGGCGTCCAGAAAGGTTATAAATTCGAATGGGCGTAACTACTCGTAATGTCTTATCAGCTTGTGAGAGGGGGTTATTCATGGGTTTGTAACACTTTATAAATAGAAAGCTATGAAAGATAAAGCGTTATTTTCATCATCGGTTAACACACTCCCGCGGTATTCATGGCGAAAACACACATTTCCCGGCGCGCGTGCTGTACACCAACAGTACACGCTGAGTGACCCCGGCGGCCTGCCCGGCACGTCCGACGTAATCGGTTGCTGATAAGATACGCATCTGGGCACAGACGCAGGATAAGAGTTAACATGTTAAAATGCAAAATCTGCGAATGACGTTTTGGAATGATTGACGATATCACAGTATAAACCGGAAGTTGACACACTGAAGCGGCCCTGAACATGGATTGCCTGAGCTATTTTACTGACAGAGACCGCTGAGAAGCAAAATACGACAAGTGGTCGCGGGTTGGGCCAGGTACTCTAGATATATCTAGATCTAGATCTAGATCTAGATTCTTTTCTAGATCTAGATTTAGATCTAGATTTTCTACTTCCAGTCAAGAAAATGTCTAAGACGGATTTTTTTTCTGGCTCCCTTGCGATTCCTTCTTACACATGTTCGACTGTTATTAGACAGGGGAATTTAAGGGGGGGGGGGGGGGTCAAAAGCCCAGCCGGTGGGATCAAGGGTCGCTTGATCGGCAAGCAATTACAAGTGGTCAAAACTTCACACCTCTCAACTGCTGCTATCCTCTCTTATAATGGCATGTGTCAGTCTTACTTTGAACTTTCCAATTACCACCAGTGCTTCCATTTCATAGGACCACTGTTTGATCTATTAAATAGTACGTTTGAACATCTTCTTTGCTTCCACCTTAGCCCCACCCGTCAATGTAACAAGCACAGTCAACCAACCACCCTTAACTACCATACGACTCGAGGAACTCTTTTCTCCGCTGGCTGTACGATCAGGGCAGCAGGCATTGGTCAAACTAATTTCACATCTCAGGCCTCAGGCAACCATGAAAGTTTCAGTTGCTGGAGCGCCACTTGAGCACTTTCACTGGCACTCGTGAGATTTCACACCTGCACCACATCTTCATCGCTTAGGGCTCACATAGAAGGGGTAACATATACCCTCAAATTGCACCCCTCCTCCCCTTCCTTGCCCGGTTGAAAAGCGTTAAGTTTAGAGTCAGGTTAGAGCCGGGAGAACCAAACTTGCGAGTTTTGTTTCAAATCAGGGCTGAGCGGGCAAAGAATTTTCTGTCTTAGACGGGTAAAATCCTCGAAAGGGAGTGGATTTTTCTTTCCATTTCCTCTGTGAACAAGTTTCCGTTTTATACAGGTAATTAAAGAGGAAAACTAGGGGGGAGCGGGGAGGTTCCGTTAAGATAGGTTTACGTTTAGGCATGGAAACGTGTGTTTTCGCCATGAATCCATGGGAGTGTCTTAATGATGAAAATAACACTCTGTCTTTTATAGCTTTTTATTTATAAAGTGTTACAAAATGAATAACCCCCTCTCATAAGCTGATAAGACATTACAAGTATTTACGTCAGTTCGAATACCTTTTTAGACGTTTTTGTTGTTATGAATGATCTGGGGTTCGAAGGGTGATAATATAAGGTCAATTTCCGAATGTTTTGCTCTCAAATTGTTCTTTTTACGTGCTCAATGATATTCAAAACTATCAAACAAGCTTATTTTTTATGCAGTATCATTTCATACAAAATCAAGCTCATTTGAAAGATTTTGTATAGAAAAATGGAAGTCTTGTTTCCTGACGTATCCTTTCGAGCTCCTCATATCTAAGTGGGTCAATTTGTTCTAATTTCATTGGACGAACATCTAGAGCTACCAACTTGGCATGTTTTGAATGAGACATATGCCTCGGTTACGAACCAATGCAGGCGGTTCTAGAAGTAGGCCACAAACGCACACAAACTCAAGCGGACTGATGCACACGCACTTGAGCTCCGTGAATGCGGGGGACCCAAACTGAACGGGAATGATGCTCGGCGCACGTACACTGAGCCAGGGATTGGAACGAAGGCCAGGTGTAGAAATAGGCTTATCGGGCAACATAAACCCGGCCCCCGCAGGACCAGGGTTAAGTTTAAACAAAATTTATAATTCTTTAGATAGGTCTAAACTGAGACTAGGTCTAGATCTGCACTTTTTTAGATTAGATGTTGGTTTTAAATAGAACTTAAATTTAGTGAGTGAAATGTAAAACTTGGAGGATGAACTCTTTCCATGAGTGAAGATGGGTATTTAGGCCTAGTTTCATTTTTTTTGGTAATTAACTGCTTCACTGTTTCACGGCGTGTGGTGTACTTCCATAAATCGGGCCCTCCTTTGCACTGTAGACATACAGTGTATGCCGGGCAATATCGCTATTTTGTTTCGTTTCCTACTCAGCCGGTAATTGCAATTTAGTATCGAGAGTGGGCTTCCCTGAAAGCTTTAGTTTGCCCTAGCTAGACCAACAATGACCGAAATAGCGTGAATTATAGCGTCACCGAACAGTAACTCTCTCTCCGAGGTCTAGGGTCTCACTCTAGCTTCGAGCTATGGCTGATCACCCTTGATGTATGCTCTCAACATATCAAGCTATCGAAGAAATGTTTGCTGATGATGATCGCTGTTCCTTCATTTCCCTTTAAAATGATATAGACATTGTTATGCATTTGATGCATTACCACTGAGTAATTAATTAGCACTTTGAAAGGGTCACCCATTAGTGTGCTATTCCTGGAAACAAGGTCAGCATAGGGCGGGAAATATAGATCAGCAGTGAAGGGGTTAATTTACTCATGGACCCATTTCAAACTCAGATATCCAGTGTAATGCACTTTTCTTGTTCACTTTTATTTTATCTTTGTTTTACTTAAACACAAATTTTGATTTTATAATCCTCTGCAAATCATTAGTTCTTGAGATATATGAATGTTTTTAAACCAACTTTTGCAAGTGGCCCAATTGCGTAATCATTTCACTATTATTTTTTTTTAAATTGGGGTTTTCAGGGAAGGGGGGGGGGGGGTGGCATGCCCCCTTACATAATAATAAATCTGGGGGTTCTAGGGGGCTTTCCTTCCTGTATTTCACCATAATTTGATGTTTTGCAAAATTAGGTTTAATATTTTCTTGAAAACAATTATTTGCGAGGATGTTAGTGGCCGTTGTTATGTGGTCTGCAGCAAAAAATATTGTAGTTTAGCCCCCAAAACTGCATTTCAGGTTTGAAAGTACAAATTAATCATTTTTAATCCATGACAAGAGACATTGATGTTTCTATGAGATTGAATGAGCTTTAATGCAAGAGAGTACGTGTACATTACACGTATAGGTTGAACACAGAAAACTCAAAATCACACGTCAATCAAACTGCCTGCAGTCTCTTTTTTTTAACTTTTTTATCTTTAAAAGAAAATTATTCAATACTTGAACACAAACAAAGAATAGTCAAACTAATTGCACTGTCATAGAAGTCTAAAGTCAATGTCCTGTGAGGTGAACTTAAGACAAAATAATAGTCGTAATATTTTTACAAGTCAGAAAAAGGCAAGGTCAGTAAAATACCACCTTCCCCCCTCCACAGAAGCAGCTAGCTGTGCTATTTAGGTTTGTGTGGAGCGGGCAAGAGAAAGGGTTGTGGATAACACAATCATCCGCCCCAAACCTCTTCTCAAAAGACTGCGCGCTTGGTGGGAGAGGCGGGGTACGGCTGCATTGTTGTCATCACATTGTTGATTACTGTTACGATATATGCTTATCCTATCAAATTGTTAATATTTTGAAAAATTTGGAAAGGCACCGATCGATTGGTGCAGACTAAAGACCACTCTCACTGACCCGTTCAATGAAACTGTCTTGGTACTGGTAGGCTCATTACCGATCAAACTTGAATGTGTTGCTCATCGTGTTTCTCATTCTCAATCTGTCCATTTCAACTTCAACCGATGCCATAACACTTTTCACACATCCCTCGAACGACAGATCTCTCGAACTGAGGCCGATCACGACGAATTCGAGCTATTCATGTTATACTTTCAAACCCCAGGAAGAGAAATATATATGCAAAGCCCATCTGCTTCCTCAGGACCGTAGACGAGTATACTAGTGAGCAAAGTAACTTAGATATATAAACAAAGATCTATTGAATTTTCTCCAAACATATTATGCTTTCTTTAACCCATCGATTATTTCCATTTAGATGTTTTACTTCAATAAAAACTGTTATAATGGCATTTGGGAAATATTCAAAACAGTTGGATGACATTTCATATACATCCATAATACTGTACTAGAGCTGAGTCATTTTTATTAGAGTAACTTGGGAACTGAAAGTCAAGTGTGACCCCAGTTCCAGAGGTGTTATAAAGTCGTGCCAGGTAGAGGAGATGCTTCACTGCTTCACAATTTGGATTTTTTTTCTTATATTGACTTTTTCGATCAACTGCTAGACGCACATGTATGAGTATGCTGTGCATTGGTCAAGTCACGCTGCCTTTACCTTGAAACAGTGGTTCATTGCACAAATATTTATTTTTAAATTATTTTTTAAATTTCTTTTTTTCTACTATTATTAGTTACTGAAATGATTCTGTTTGCTAATAAAAATTACTGATGATTAGTGCCTTTGAAAATATTAGAGTCTTCAGCTTCAAAGCCCTGGGTTTTTCTGTTTCGATTTGGGCCAATACTTCCTCCAAAGTCCTTCATGCATTTGCAGGCTATGAGTATATGGCTTTGTGTAGAGATGGTTTTTCTGGCACTTACAGCCTAGTGTGAGTCTAAATTAAATAGAACAACCTGCTCTTGATGGATGAGGGGGTAATGGTAGGGGTCAATGTGGTTGAAGTGTGGATGTTGTTCCTTCAACTTTACTTGTACTGGTTTTCTATCTAATCTACTTAATGGGGTTTTTTTTCGCTCAATTAATTCAATATTTGATTTCTTTCACTCAGGTTTTATGGCATCTGACAAGTAAAGAGAAGAGATGGAGGAAAAAACCTACGCAGTTTTTACAGCAGAGTCTGTAAATGCCATGGCAGAGAAGGCTGGCATGTCACCAGTGCCTCACGAAGCGGCTGCAGCTCTAGGGGAAGATGCCAGTTATCGTATGCGACAAGTTATTATGGTAAATAGGCTCTTCACTTTTAGTTCTTAACAGTTCTTTTTATCTTGTCTCAAAGCCCTCCGAATAAAGAGTACAGAAATTGAAACATAATTTAATATCCTGTTGAACTTCATTCAGTCTCAACAATCGATATAGTCACAAAATGCATAGCTATTTTTATTTTTTTAAGAACTTTATGAGCTGCCCATCAGTTGTCCAACTCTTGCAGATCAGTTTTACTTTGTCTATGCTGATTATTGCTGAGTTGCCTATATGTTCTACAATTGAACCTTATAAATTCTCACTGTAGCTCTTTTTTTTTCTGCCCAGCTTGCCACGCAGTACATGAAACACTCAAAACGACGAAGACTGAGCGTCGACGATTTCAATAGGGCAGCTAAAGAACTTGGTGTTATGGTAAGTGAAATTGTTTGTATTGTTACGCTGTGCAATTTATGCCTTGGGCTTGTTGATAGTAGTGAGCAGGAAGGTTTGAGGAAATGGTTCGCTGAAGTGTCAGGTGTTCATGAGAAAATTGATATATGGGCCCTCAAAGGCCCAATAACTATATATTTTCTGAAAGCTAATTGGAAGAGTATGCATTCATTGCTGATCAAAGTGATTACATGTACAGTCAAACCTGCCCTGACGGCCACCTGTACAAACGGCCACTTTCCATTTCCCCCCCTTGCATTTTTTCTTTATAATTTAACTGTGTAAAACGGTTACCTGTCCAACGCGGCCGCGGCCGCCATATTTTAACTCACAACCCCTTTCACACTAAGCAATAACACCTGTCTAAGACGGCCGCCTTAGTGACTCCATTTACATTTTGTCATAAATTGTGCACTGGCCCGTGGCGTTGTGGGCGAGCCGTCATAATCCAATCACCTGTTGTTGTTGTTAGGTAGTCCCTCCAACCGATCATGTTGCGTAGGCCCCTGCCACTGTTGACCAATAGCTACCAATGTTCAGCTGCTGGTGAGGTAAGCATGTGATCCCTCAAAACCCATACTCATACACAAATCGTAAGTGAGATGAGTGGTCACTGTTTACCCAGTCTGTAACAAAGTAACAAAGGACGTCAACATGAACTTGTGACAGAAGTGTCGTTCGTGGTGGCGACCCATGTGTTTATTTTAACATGGCACTCGGTCTTCCTCGTTTGATACATTTTGTTTTATTGTCACAATTGTGCAAAATCAGCAACAAAATAAAAATTACAGACAAAATACAAACCACCACCACTAACAACAAAAACAGCAACAATGCGGCTACTTTCGATTGGGACCTCAGATGGGAATGGTTTGTTTTCTTCATCTTGATCAGTCCTGCCTAAGACGGCCACCTGTCTTATACGGCCACTTTTCTCTTTAACGATGGATGGCCGTCTTACACAGGTTTGACTGCATTTGCAAATGATAACAAGAACTGTGTAAAAACTTTCACTGTGGACTCATGAAATCTAAGCATAACGACACTATTTCTAGAGTTAAAAAATACTGGGCTAAGCCATCAACCGGAGCAGTCCAGCTAACACTGGCAGGTAAAAAAATCAGTCCTGTGCCAAAAGTAGGGATAAAGAGAATCTGCATGTTTTTGCTCCTGTATTGCTACGGCAAGACTTGCTTACTTAGTCTTACAAACAGTAGTGTGGCCTAGTATCTCTTGGGCAAGACTTACAGATTCAGTCCTATAGTCAATAAGATATACTCATGTAGGCATTTGAACTTACTATACCTTTGCTGTCATATTATGATTTTTGTGCTAAAAGGTGGATGTTTGCAGAGTGTTCCCCACTGACTGGTGATAAATCTTTGCATGTTTTAGCCGGTGTGTGGACATGGCTCTCAAGAGCCAGCTCCATTTCGGCTAGTGAAGGACCAGGATGTGTATTGCGTGGATGACCCCGAGGTCAGCCTGTGTGATATTGCCCTGGGGACCTCAGTGCCGAAAAACATTGGCCTCCCATCTATTAAAGGTAAGAAACTCACTTTTTTGGCTTCTAGTGGAAGAGTTTGTTGTTTGATTTTAAGTTTCATGACATTTTTACATGCTTTACTTATTTTTGTTGTTTCTATGAAAAGAATTACAACAGTCCCAGTCACCTGTGGCTTTTTTAGGTGAAGTTGAAACTGACTTTGAAACCTATACTACTTTAATAGTGATGCTTGATGCACAACATTGATCTATTTATTGTTGGCATCTGTTTTGTTTCTATTGTCAATTTTTACTAGGTAATGGTGCTGAATATTGCACAGGAGGACCATTGTATCACTCTCCTTTCAAGTGAGGAAAGTTGCGAGTCTGGCTGGTAATGTCATAATGTCACTGTACTGTGATAGTTCCATATGAATACACTGGTTGAGCCTAAAAAATGTTTTGTTGACAGGTTTATAGAACCCTCTGGTTATTGACTCTTTCAATGTAAATTTGTACTATCGTGCTACACGAGAGAGGGCTAATGCTTTTATATTATATAAATAAAATTCTATTCATCTGTGTGTCTGCAGCTCACTGGCTGGCTGTGGAGGGGACTATTAAGATCTGGTCTGGAGGATCATCCGCCTCGCAAGGTAATGTAGCTCTAATGCGACTTCACAATGCACTAATGACGTGGCTCCCGTCAAGAGCTCTGACTGAATGTAGTGGGATAGTTGTCCCTTATTCAGAGCGCCTGTTCCTGTTAAAATGAACATAATATTTTCTTTTCTTTTCAAAAATGAAAGCAATGTGTAGTCGTCAATGACCATCAGAACCAAGAGATATGTATCTCAGGCATTGTTTTTGTCCTTGTAAATAGTGGTTTGTTGGGTGTGTTCATTTGAGAGGGGGGGGGGGGGCCTCTCGTACCTCTGAATCACCTCAGCAAAGTTAGTGATTTGCCTTCCTCTCAACGTCTAGTTTCTTTTCTGAATATGTTTTTGGCTATTGTGTCTAAACTATATGTGAAAACTACTGAAACACCATGACCTGTGGGAGAAGGTAGTAACCTATTCCTCGTGAACACTGTATTTCTAAAAGGGATTTAGACTGTTCTGTTTGTTTTTTTGAGCAGGGAAGGGCAACCGAGAGATGTCTCCCACACATCTCAACTACTACAACTGTATGACCAAAGCACTGCTCAGTCAGAAAGCAGAGGCCAAGAAGGTAGGGTTAAACTTGTCTTTAAGCTATTCTCTTTTAAGGGATTTTGCAGATTTTAGGTCAGGCTATGCACATTTTATGTTGGCTGATTTTTTAAGATAAACCAGTTTTTGTCTAAAAATAGCATGAATACAATTGAGAAAGACTTTATTCTCCAGGTAAATTGCCTTTAAAAACATGAAGATAGGTTAATATAGTGAATTTTCACAATTATAGTCACAGTTTTCGCAAAATGTAATTTTTTAGCAGTTTTTTCCCTACTGAGCTATTTGCAGGAGATGCGACACAAAAATATAACGCATTATGTCTATCTGGTTTGGGATCCTTCGTGCTCTGGCTTCCAGTTTTGAGATCACTTGGTGGCTGCTTTCTGTGTCCTGTTCTCCTAAAAGCCCGAGAGCAAACATGTGTTGTTGTATGTGTGGAATACAGTGTTGCTATGAAATGTGTGGCTTTGGGATAACTTTGCGGGGAAATAGCGTCTGAATGCGGACATGTTATTGTCGATTGCTACGAAGATTTCTGGAAGTGAAAACTGCTTGACTGGTTTGAGATGTGATATTGCAGTGTGAACATGGCTAAATCTTTCATTGAGAAGATTGAATATTGCTTCCAGTCTATTGCCTCCTCAATTTTTGCAGTTTCGCGGGAGTATTTTCTTGTTTCTGTGCAAATTGTGTTTGTTAGTTCCTTGCATACATGGGTTGGAGGGAGGTATGCTTGGGGTGTTTTGCGATGTTTGCTTGAAATTGATCTTTGTATGCATCCACCCAAGCGGTGCCAACAAAACGGAGAAGGAATTCACATTTATGCTATTGTCAAACGCACACATGTTCCTACTAGTGTCAACTGCTTTTTTGCGGCATGAATTGACGTGACGTAACACCATATCTCCTTTTGATAGTGAAATCGCGGTAAAACACTTGACACAAATGTTAGCGGAATACGACTGTTCATTTTCGTCCTTCACATCAATCCCATAAACCAAGAGAATATCTCCTGCCATTGTCTTACATAAATGGGGCTTTCTATACTTTTTTGTTTGACAGTTAAATTTAAACACCAACACACCCGACAAAGTTCATTCAGAGACTCTCTATGCCTCTCATATGTGTGACCCATTGCAGTTTAACAATATTTACTTAGGAACACAATTCACTAACTGATTGCCAGTCACTGCAAAGTACTGGAAAAACAAAATTCACATCACTAGAAAATATGATTTGATGGCTATCACACCGCGCAAAAACAGAAATAAAGACCAACGTTTCATTCTCGAATGATTTGTAATTAAATTTGAAGAGATCACATTATTTACGGTGCTTCCGATCACTGAACACTCACGATTTAAAACTGTTATTATTCCCAAATGAATCAATGAAAACTGTTGAAACTTTAATGAGATATCAAGAAGAAGTAGATGAAGCGAAATTGATGAAGAAATAGATTCTAAGGGTAGAGTGAGCATCATTTTACGGCTCATGAAATTAGGGGAAGAAACGCGTTCTGATAAGGACAAGATAGGACAGCGCTGTGCACGGGTTGACCCCGGTCAATCCCCGACTTGACGCGTGAAATTGCAGGTCACCTGCCGCTGTTTTATGGCCTACCACTGGGGGCCTGGACTAACTAAAAGATCGCTGAGACGGAATTTCGGACGCCGTGTCAAGGGTAGCTCCTCCCGTGAAAGAGAGGTGTTTTTTACTTGATGACAGCAACACAAAATGCATGTTGTCTTGTGGATATTGAGATGGTTATATACAGTCTATTGCTCTTCAAGTTCAGTTATTGTGAAGTCATGTGAGTGGGTGGTTGGCGGGTGCTCTGGAGTGGTTTGTCCGTTCTTTCCTACCGCACGTCTATCATCCTTATCTCCTGTCCTTTTTTTTTGGTGCTTATTACTCTCTTGTAACATCTCTTATCTTCAGAGGTTATATGACCTAATTGTGTTGCAAGTGTCATAAAGCACTTATTAAGACCAAGTTATGTGAGTTTTTGAGATGTTACTTCAGGAGAATCTGACTGCTAATGGCTTCTCCTTTGGCTGCCAGGTTTGGAATTTCTGTCATTTTAAGTGTATTGTACTGACCGTACAGGGTAGTTATTTTGTACTCAATTGAGCCTTTCTTCACAAGCACATAATTGGTCACTGGCTGGTTTGGTTTTGTCATCAATGGACCCAATAGACATTTGGCGTACTATTCATTTTAATGACTTGACGGTTTCTGTTCTTTGGAGAGAGTTTTTGAGTTGTTGGGGTTTTTTTTACTTTTCTTACGTGTTTTCCAGTGTTATGTTATTTAAGATGAGAACATATTGTATGTTCATGAAATTAGACCAGCGTTGCTCTTACTGCCCAGTTAGATATGTTCAATCTTGATCTGTGTGTGTGTGTGTGTATGTGCAAATGAACGAAGAAGAAAAGAATGTTTGTACTTTTGCAGTCTGATACACAGTGGGTCTCTGTTGTGTTCTTTCAGAAAGCATTGCTAGATCTGAAGAGAAACCCCAACATTGTGCCCATGCTGCCGTACTTGGTCAACTTCGTTATTAGTGGGGTGAGTAGAACAGACAAGTCTCACATTATGAACTTCCATCTTTAAAAATAACAGTAATTCTTCTCTGTGAGAAGGAATAGTATTGTGGGTCCTTTCTATTGTCAAGTATAGTGGAGAATGTTACTGTTTGTAATCATTGACTGTTTGTTACAATAGTAATGATAATAGTTGCGAGCGCCGTAAAACCCTCTACTATAATAAATATAAAGTAATGATAATGATTGTAGATTACATTTATATAGCAAACATCCCTAATATAAAGTAAACTATAACTAAATTTATTATGATTTAAAGTCTTTTGACATTCTGAAACATTCACAACTTTGTGGAAAATTCAGTTCTATTAGCCACATTGCTAGCACTCCTACACTAATATGCTGACAAGATCTTTGACTGTCTTAGCTGGTACCCATTTTCAACTTGGTGAAAGGAGGAAAAATTTGTACAAAGAGCCATTTCCAAGGACATAATATTGGATGGAGACTGCAAATCAAACCCTTGATAAAACGGTTGTGAGTCGAGCAGCCTAACCATTAAACTATATATGCCACAGTAACTATTGATGTTGTTTTTGTCCTCAGATCAAGAACATGAGCCATGACATGGGCCACCTGACCACCATGTTGAACACAATCCGTGCCTTGCTGCATAATCGCTCCTTGTACCTCATGCATAAACCCTATGTGAGTAGCCCAGAACTGCTCTGATGTCAGTGTGGTTGTGCTCTATATGCATTTTTTCCCCAATCTGTGTCTATATTTTGCATTTAGATGGGTTTGGGTTTTTTTCTGATACTTTTATTTTACTTTTTGAAAATGATTTTTCTTCAATTGAAGGATATAGCTTTTTTTTTTTTTATGGGCTTTTCTTTTCACTTTGTTTTCTAAAAATGTCTTTTTTATACTTCTGGACTTTGTAACTCATCAGGAACAAGTGATGATCTTCAGACTGAGAACAACACTCAAACAACACATGTTGAAATGTTTTAAACTAGTACAGTGAACCAAATATCAATATGAAGAAGCAAACCAAACCGTGGAACACATTCTTCAGCAGTGCAGGAAACACAAAACGGGCCAATGGAAGAACTGAGCAGTACAGCACAGTATGATATAGTTACCAGACTTAAAGTGTGACGCAATAGAGAAGAATAAATTTTTTTATATGTGTAGTGTGAGGCTATGTTTCATTTCGTTCTGACTTTAGTGTCCCCAAGTGCTTACTGTCTTGTGTCTGTCCTCAGCTGGCCACTATGGTTCAGGGCGTGGAGTTTTGTGTGCTGGAGCCCCTGGCAGCCTCTATCAGCTCTTCTAATGACCAGTGGGTGCTCAGAGACTATGCTGCCAGATTGCTAGCAGAAATTGTCAAGTAAGTTCTACAGTTTGAATAATAGGAATTAGAGCTTATTTACCCGACTAAAAGTAGCAAGTCTTTATTTCTGTGTTTTGAAGTAGAGCGTCTTATGTGAGGTTTTGTTTTGCCAGGGTTTTCTAGATGTAGCACTATGGATCTCTTTTCTTCTGACTGAAATTGATTTTTATTTCTCCAAGGGTATTAATGAAAATAAAGTCTGCTTATCTAGTTTTTAAGTGACTGAAAGCTCTCGGCTGTATCCCATGTTGTATCTGCAATCCTATTATCAGATATTGGTTTTACTTTCTTTGTCAATGGTCCATCATGTTTGAAAGGATGCTTTCTTGAATACTCAAAATGTGGTGTGTTTCTCTTGTTCTGCTTTCCTTCAATGACTTGGGCATGAGGGAAGAACTTTGAGATAAGTGTTTGCTTTGATGATGTGTTCCTCAGTCGCTGGAACAGCCCTCAGAACCACTTGAGGTATAACACTATCAAGTGCCTACGAGAAGCTCTGTACGACACCTCGAAGCCATTCTACTCTCACTATGGGGCTGTCATGGCGTTCATCGCACTGGGGCACAAGGTAAGGAGCCAGTCGGGTTAACGTTTTCTTTCACAGAGAATCAGGTGCAGTGGAAATTGCTCAAGACGGCCACCCATTGTTGAGATAAAAGATTGCAATCTTAATGTCATTATAACATTAGAAAAACACAAGGGGGAAAGTGCTTGGTTGTCTTGGACAGGTAGGGTTTGAACAGGTTCGACTGTATTCTATTCTTTTGTTTTGAAGTTTTGGGGGAAAGTCTATTAACCCTCAGGGCAGCGCCACTGACTGTTGTGTCTTTAGGCCATTCCCAAAGGGGGGACATTTCTCGTTCAAGCATAGTAGAATTGTAAATGGGCTGACTCATGTCACACTCATAACTGTGCCTGTTCTACAACAGGGAACTGCTGCTTTTTCCTTCTTGATCCTTGCTATTGTCATTTTCCTCAACTTCTTTTGTATGTTTGTCACTCTCTTGTGCCCTGCTATTTCCGGGGTGCCTTGATAGTAGAAGCACACCTTGTGCTGTTGAAGCTAGAGAGGTGAGCAGTCTAGGTCTGATTCCCTGTAAAGACTTCTCTGTTGACACCTACTCCTTGGCGCTCATATGACCTTATGCAGTTGCAAGCGCCATAAAACCCTCTACTATTAAAAAAAAAAAGTCTATAGATAAATGATGTGTCTGTTAGCATACACAATTGAACATGTCCCCATGTGAGCAGAGAGTAGATTTTCAGAAGTAATGCTCACTTTATTACATTTTCTATGTAGTGAGTGTATTTGTGCTTCAGCAGTAATGACGGGCGTTGGGTGCTGGACTGGAAGTATGTAAGTTTTTTCATGGAATCTAAGATCCTGCTCTTTTGGGGCTAAAATTTATGTTCTTCATAAGCTTTACCAGTGGGGTTTCTTGAGTTCTTTTTGGTTTTGCTCTTCTTACATATCAAATACCACGTTGTTCATTATTTTGTTTTGTAACATCTGGTCAGGCTGTAGAAGATGTCGTGGTGCCTTACCTGGCCACCTACTGGCCTCACCTCAAGGCTGCCATGGAGGACAGAGCGCGGGAGAAGATTGTCAACCGATGCGACTCGCACAAAGTCTACGGAGCTCTCAGGGTAAGCCACAGTTTATAAACTGGTTAAGACCTGCCTATGTTTGGACCCTCAGGATAGGCCATAGTTCAGAAATGGATCAAAAGATGTCTATATAAATGTTTGTTCTGTTTCTATGAGTTGCTTCATGTCTCTTTCTTCTTAATTCAAAAAGGAAGAATTGCGTGTTCGTGCTTAGTGGTAGTTCCGATCAGAGAATTGAGGAAGACATCCATTACATTTTCACTGCCATCTTTGAAGTAAATCATAAAGTTTCAAAAGCACTGCTGGCCTTTTCTTTTTCCCTTTTATTTTGACACTTTAAGAATTCATTATGTGTAAACAATTTTAACATTATTTTCATTTTATGACCTAAATTATCCTTCCTCCACAAATTCAAACCGTTGCCTCGGAACTGTCATACTGATCTGGACTGCTTTAAAAAAAACAACGTAAAATAACAATTAAAATAATGTGTCCCTCTCTTTTCTCTCAAAGCTGGCTGCAGAGAAAATTCTACGCAGGCATGTAAGCTTGTTTAAGGATCTTGCAACGGCTCGCAAAGAAAGACGGGAAGTCGCTGAGGTCTTAGACATTGATGAAAATGAAACAGCTTTGGCCCCTGACTCTGTTGAAAGCACCAATGCCACAGTCACAGCCACAAAGAAATCCCCACAAAAGAGTGTGTTCGAACTGTATAAGGTTTGCAGTTTGTTTGTATTTAGAACACTTATCTTCACTTTTTATGGAATTAATGGTTCTTATCCTTAAGGCAAAAAAAAAAGGAAAATATTATATGAATGGGTTTCCTTTTGATTTATGTGAAAAATGCTACCAGGTTGCCACTTTTAAAACCATAATATCACCAACATACTTAAGGAGAAGCAGTGCAATTATTTACTTTTGATTTTATAACCCAGTTTCTTCAGCATGGTTCACTCATTTATTATATGGGTAAACAAATTTTAAGATGCCTATTGCATGCGTTGCCAGAGCTGACCAGAGTGGGTCTGTGTGTATTTGGGGTCACAGAATTGTCGCCATTTCATAGTTTGTGGGCTTCTCTCCCCAGCGGCTATCAGCATGTGCGATTAGGCTCTTTGCTGCCTCATGCAGAAGACATGAGTTAAATTCTCAAACTGAAAAGTTTTTCATCGAGGATCTCAGTCTTTTGCTCGGATGCTGTATCCCACTCAGCCTGGGTTAGCTCCCCAGCCAGGGTTAAAATATTCTAATTTTGTCCTAAATGATGTGAATTGTGTCATTGAGGGCAAAAGACATTTAAAATCTTCAGCACCTGATATGTATTGCCGTTTGTCTTTGGAGGAAATGATGAATATGTTCAGTGAATTTGATAAGTTCCTCTGAAACGTCAGTGAATGTCCACTGCTGTAGAAAGGTTTCTGTGTTCTCAGAAGTTTTCCTTCAGACGGTTGTCAGATTGCAAAAACCACCAGCTTTGCTTGAGGCTAGGCTTTTTTAAATCTTTGGGTACTTCTGTATGTGAGTGTTTTTGCCCCAACAAATGGCAGCTTGCACTGTATGCTTCCCAGGAAGTTGAGATTGTTTTAGAATGCTATCAGGTCAGCTGGGGTAATGATAGAGATTGTAAAGCACATAGAACTTGCTGTTGAGCGGGGGTTTGCGCTATACAAATGCTATCTATGATTACTGGAATTGTTTGGTCAGCTTTGACATTTTTTAGGGTTTTTTGTCCTTTTTTATATTTTTTAACCATTCCTAGTGTGTACAGATTTTATTCTGTTTTTGTTATTTGACATACTTATAAAAGTACAAGTAGATCTCTGACATGGATGATCATTATGATGTTCCCAGGAACTGTATGAGTATTTTGGGGACTCCCTAGCTCACTGTCTGCCCGTGGTAGAGACACACGAAGTGTTCCGACCGATGCCAAGGGAGGAGAGGGTGGAGCTCGGAGACGCTAATACAGGGAAGAGCGGAGAGGAGCTGTTGGACAATCTCATGGAGCAGATCTATCTTGAGGTTGGTGAAGACAGCTGGCTGTGGAGGGAGAAAGAAAGAAAAGGAAGGAGACGAAAGAGAGAGAGAGAAGAGAAGGGGAAAAAAGGGGGGGGGGGCTGGGTTGAGTGCTTGGAAAGGAGAGGGAGGGAGGGTACAAGTAGATCTATCTGTAGGTGGCTGAAAGAGGGGGGGGGGACTGTGGAGGGAGAAAGAAAGGGCAGGAGGGAAAGAGAAAGAGAAGATAAAAAAGCAAGGGTGTATGTTGAGTGCTCAGAGGGTAGGGGGTGTAAGCAGTTCTATCTGGAGGTAGTTGAAAGAAAAGAGAGAGAGATGGGGGGGGGTGTCTTTAAGGAAGGGAGAGAGAGCGGGTGTAGGAGCTTTCCACTGACAGGTTTTACTTTTTCCCCCCTTCTATTCATGTGTGTGTGTGGGGGGGGGGGGGGGGGTGTATGAAAGGTATCAGTAGAAGGAATCACTGATAGATTGTTTCCCTTTTTTCTTTCTTCCCTCTGAGTTATCTCACTGTTTACCCCTGCATTCCAAGCTGTTCCTTTACAGAAAGTTGATAGGTTTTTTCCTGTGCCTCTGACTTCAGGCAAACTATATGTTCATACATCTATTGAAAAATAGCACCATGGGCTTCCAAAACTTTACTCTTGTGTATTTGCGGGGGGTTTTGTAGGGGTTGTACCCTGCAAGGCACCCACATCACACGGGTGGTTGGCTGGTGCTCTGGTATGGTTTGCTCCATCTTTCCTATCGAACATTTGTTTTCCTAATCTCTCCTCCTTTTCTTTGTTTATTTTCGAATAAAACCTCTAATCTTCAGCACTTCTATAACCTATTTGTACTGCAAGTGCTGTAAAACTCTTACTGAAAATAAGCTAAAACCAGCATCACCTCTGCTGTCTGTAAGCTGTAGCACTTACTCTACATAGGGGAAGAGGAAAAAGTACATGTGATATGTATGTCAGGCTCTTGGTTTACAATGCTGTCCTCAACTTAAGTGTGCATTTGATATTATTTTCAGGAAAAACTAGAGCAAGAAAGGAAGGAACGAGAACTCGTGGAACAAAAAGAGAGAGAAAAGCGGGAGAGGCAAAGGCTTGCCAGGGAGGCTATCCTGAGGAAGAAGAAAGAGGAGGAGGAAAAAGTAAAGCGACAGAAGAGGGAGGAGGATGAACAGAGAAGGCTGCTGGAGCTTGACCAGCAGAAACGTCTGCGGGAGGAAGAGGAGAGGAGACGGAAGGAGTGGGAAGAACAGATCAAAGAACTCAATAAGAATAGGAGCAAGCCAGAGGTGAGTGCACGCACTGCTTGAGGAAAGAGGAGTGTCGTACTGTGTGTGTAGATCCTTTATGTGCTATAGAACAGATTGCCTTTGTATTTTGAGATAGAGCTGAACATGCACATAGTATGTGTGTATGTATAGTGCGCCTGTGCAGTGTGAGCATAAGTAGTATGGAATGGGTTTTAATGCCCCTTCTAATGGATATACAGTCTTTATGAGGCAGGACCTCCAAATTTGATGTCTTTCTCTTATAGGACAATGCAAAGGAAGGAGAAAGCCTAGAGAACTTTCTTACCAATCCAAGTTCAAAAACACCTCATCTGGAGATTTGAGAATTGTAAACCAGCACGACTCCACTGATTTATTTGGTGTGCCTGTTTGCATATTTTTTTTGTGTGTGTGTATGTAGATCACCAATATAATAATGTGTATAAGTTCATTCTCATGTGTGTTGTATGTGTGTAAATATACAGTGTGTCTGTGTCCAGATCATTTTTGTTGCGTGAGTGAGTGGATCACCCATTTTGTGTGTTGTAAGTTCTTTCATGGGCTATCTGTGTGATGTGCTTCCTATCTTCCATATTTTTACGGAAATCCATTCTCTCCGACAGTTCCGTTCTTGCTCCCCAATCATTATCAACTCCATCGGTGAAAAAGTGCGATAGCGTAAGGCTTCCGTGGCAAAGGCTCGGTCACAGATATTTTCGGTAATTCTCTCAACAATAAATTAATGTAATAGAAAAAACCTGCCAGATTGCACATTTCCTGTAATCAGCCATTATTCCCCTTAGCATTCATCTCGGAGTAATCGGCAATACATTTTTACCTGGGAATTGATCAGAATCTGGCTGGCCATGATATCGAACTTTTTTGTGCCAATTTCCTCTTTTCTTTCATTCACTCAGTCTTTGTCTATCTTCGGAGTGTTGCGGCTGGAAAATCTGCGAGTCAATCAAGTAAACTGGCTTGTGATTTTATTAGACAGACAATCGCTATCAGAAAGGAACTTTTTTTTTATTGCAAGTTTGTCTAGATCTAGAGAAATTTTCAGTGTAATGATTCTACGGGAGCTTGATAAGGTGAAAAATATTTATGCTAAAACGGACGAGAGTATGATTTCACCGTGATGCCTCACTTATTTAATTTGTTCAAATCTCCTGTGTAGTGTATGTGTGTCACGGTGTCTATATTGCATGTGTAATGTATGTGTAGATCACTGATTCCATATGTGTTCAGCAGCTGACAGAGGAGAGAGATGTCGAAAACTGAAGTGATGGTGATGTCGACCGATACTGTGGTGTGTTAATGGAATGCCATAATGATGTGTTGTTATTTTTTATGGCCCTCATGTTGACGGGGTGTGTTTTATTTTGTGGTTGACATACACTTAATTTGTCATTCAAATGTTTTATTTTTACGTTGATTTGTTTTTTGTTGGGTTTTTTTTTTTACTGTCATGTTGACACACTGCTTTTTTTGTGTTCCAACATACTGTTTTATGTTGACTGTTGGGTTGTGTTATCACTTTATATGTCATGTTGTTTGTTGATGATCGCACCAATAAGCTAAATGGCTTGTTAACAGGTTTTGTCAGTTTTCTCATCTTTCAAACATTAATGTTTTGATTGTACGCTTTCTGCTGGATCAGATTTTACCCTATGCAAAACAGTTGTCTCATCGTGTTGGAGTTAGTTTTTTTAAAGAGCTTGTCATATAAACACTTTCCATGGATGGTTGGTAGATGTTCTGGTGTGGTTTGCTCCATCTTTCCAGTCAAACATCTATCTTCCTTATCTCTCCTCCTTCTTTTCTTTGTATGTTGATCTCTAGTATCTAGTAATACCTCTCAAATATTCAGCTCATATATGACCTTTTAAAGTTGCAAGTGTAAATTCCCTAGGAACCTATTGCCGTTTATGGAAGATAAAAGTAAATTGCGAAAAAACTGTCTACTCTGTTTTTACGAGAAGCTATAACCTTGCAAATGCAGAAATCCCTCTCAAAATAGATGGTACCAACTTGAAAAAGGAGAATAACCCAGTGCATCTTGGAGTACAACTTGACAGCAAGCTCAACCTGAAACAACACACCAACAACCTTAGGAAGAAGGCTATGAAGAGACTTAATCTCATCAAACGACTTGCCAGTACCAACTGGGGATCAGACAAGAACACCTTGAGAGGCCTCTATTTGGGATATACCAGAGCTGTTTTTGATTATAATCTTGTTCTACAAAACATTTGCAGTAAAACTTCAAAGAACTCAATGGACACCATCCAAAACCAAGCTCTTCGTCTTATCTCTGGCGGAATGAGATCCTCACCGACTGCGGCCTGTGAAATCCACACAAATATTGAGCCATTAGAAACTCGAAGAAAACGGGCAGCTTTAGAAATATATGAAATATCTAAAAGGCTAGAAAATAACTACCCTAATAGAGTCCTTGTTGACAAGTGGAAACCTAATCAAAGACTAAAAAATACAAATTCTGTACTTGACACTGTTCTCAATCTCCAAGAAAAACATCACCTCCCTGAAAGACGAGAACCTCTGGAAAGAGTTCCCTCAACTCTTCCACCACATCTCACCATAGCAAAGCCAGAAATTAGGAAAACACTTTTGGACAAGAGCAATAAAAACACATATCCTGTAGCACTAAAACATTCTGCCCTTGAAACAATTGATTCCTATCCACCAACATGGATCCACTCATACACTGATGGATCTGCCTTTAAGGCAACAATCAACGCTGGATATGGGTCAGTGATCAACTTGCCCAGTGGGGGAAAAAAAAGAAGTCTTCAACTCCAGCGGGTCCTTCTGCTCCAATTTCATTGCCGAACAACAGGCTATCACCAACACAGCAAACTACATCAACTACTTGTTTGACACTAACCCACTTGCTACCACAGACATCGTTATATTTACAGACAGCCTTTCAACACTAGAGACACTTGAGAGTGGGACTGATGTGAACAAAGATATATTGCATTTGATTTGGAGTCTACATAACTTGATAAGTAGGCACCACGTCAGAGTAGTCCTACAATGGATTCCTGCCCACACTGGGATACCGGGAAATGAAAGAGCTGATGCTCTGGCAAAGAAAGGAGCTAGTCTCCCTCAGCCTGAAATTCCTACGAACTACACCACCTGCTGCCAAATGATCAAGTCAAACCTCAAGGAAGATTGGATGAATGATTGGGCCACAGGTACGACAGGAAGGAGGATTTATGACCACCTGAATAAACCACTGGTCAAAGATCCAATCAATGAGTTGAGGAGGGGAGATCAATCCATAATCTTCCAACTTAGAACACAACATGTACCCCTCAACCAACATCTCAACCGAATAGGAGTAAAGCAGTCTGCTGCCTGCCCACTATGTGACTACCCCTCAGAGACAGTGGAACATCATCTGTTTTTCTGAACAAAAATAACTGATTTAAGGAGATGTTTTCTTCCCAAGCTACCCCACACATCTAATTGCCTCTACTCCTCAAGACAACAATTAGAACAAACATGCAACTATTACCGAATGGCATCATGCAGAAGAGTTAACGCTCAGATGCTACTGGATAGCTAACAACAACAACAACAACAAAGTTGCAAGTGCCATAAAATTTTTAGTTAAACTATTTTTTTAAAAAACGTCTCAGTCTCCCGTCTTCACATCTACAACACTCAGACTTGTTCCTGGAAGTTCTGCTGACATTGCTGGACACAGTGTTGTGGTCTGCTCTTTCTATTTCTTTTCAATGTTAGCATCATTCTCTTCTGTTTCTGGTGAAATGTAGCTGTTCTCATACTTCTTCACTATATACTTTATGTCCATGTGCATTCTGATTTCCCACTGCTCACATTGCTGATGGGCAACGAGAAGAGAGCGTTTAGTTTAGATTTGCTAGGATGGGTGAAAGTCTTTTATGAGGCAGGTGCAGTTTTTGTTGGAAGTCTTTTCTGCTTCTTTCATTCAGTTGTGTAATCGGATGAACAATTGGAAATCGTTCGGTACTTTTTCTTGAGCCTTGGGCCGAGTGTCCAGTACAAGTCACTCAAACTTGCAGGACCAGCCGGACCACACAAGTAGTTACGACCTGACTTTTGCAAATGTTCATCAAATCAGTGTAAGAACAGGAATCCAGTTGAGGTGTTTTTAATTTTTCAATTGTTTTTCACTGTTGGGCAATTTTTGTGTGCAGAACTGTGGACTTTAAAAAAATATAGCACTTGATGTAGCTCTTGTCATAGTAAGGACTGTATACTGAACATTGTCCTAGTTTTTATTGTCTGATATAGGTAGGAGCATGTACATCTGTCTGAATATTATAACGATTGTGTCTTGACTATTCTTTTATTTCCTTTCCCCCCCCCAAAATGGGCACAGTGGCAACAAGAGATTGAGCTGAGGAGGATCCAGCTGGAGGAGGAGATGCAGTATAGCCGCAAGATGGAAGCCAAGAAACGCCAGGAGGGACGGGTGCGCACAGACGAGGAGCACAAAGTGAAGAAACCGAAGCTGGAGGAGGACATGGGCAAGGATGATGACGAGGACCAGGCGGGACGAAGCAGAGCTGGTCTCCGACGACGCAAGCCTGTCAACTACACAGAGAAGGACGAGGACATCTCAGATCTGTTTGAGGACAAACCCCTAGCAATGCCACGGCAAATTCCCCGCCTCAACCCCGCCCTGCCGCCACACTCAGACATCTCTGACTTCTCTGATGAGGACATGAAGAAAGCAACGAGCAGCCCGGCTGAGGGTCTAGCAGTCAGCAAGGTCATTGACCCTTCCAAAGGTCTGCTCAAACTGAAGATCAAACGTGCGTCCACTCACTCGTCCACTCCACCTCACCCCATGTCGGCAACACCCCAACACACCCCGTCCTCCTACCACTCTCCGTCCATGCAGAGCCCCATGTACTCGCCCCTGTCGGGCTCACACTCCACCCCACCCCCTCCCCCTTCCAGTTCTATGCACCATCGCAGCAAGAGTTCCTCAGGCTCAGAGAAAGAATCCAAACATAAAAAAGGCAGCGGTGGGGGCTGGCGACAGTCACGTGGGGGCAGTGCCGGATTCCAAGACATATCAGACCCAGAGGAGATCTTCTATGAGAAACCCCTGGGTAGTCTCCCTCCTCAGCTCTATTCCCCCGGTGCTGAAAGCAGTGGCTCCGACTCCAACCCACACCGCAAGGCGCTCAAGTTGAAACTGAAACTCACACCTAAAGAGTCAGCCTCAGAGGGAGATAACTAAATACTGTACAGTCAGTGGGTTTTCTCTCAGTGTTTTATCATGGGGCACATCTACAAAAATGTTGCTTTCCCAGCACATTGTCTTGGAGCCTCCCACCACGGTTTTCTCTAGGTACATAGAACCATATCTCCTATAGAGAAATGGACTTCTGAAAGCTCATTTTATTTGTCTTTTTCTGTCCTTTTGTTTCCCCTCTGTCTCTTTTTCTTGCTCACTCTTTTTTCTATCCCCCTCCTCATCTCATCTCTACCTCTTCCCCCCCATTTGAAATTAAAAGTTGATAGGCCTACTGTGTACTGTGCATCGAACGAATTCACAGCATCTGCCATTGGATTTTGTTGAAAGGTTTCAGTGAAAGCAAGGTCCAAAATACACATACAAATATTTTTAATTGGTAAATTCAGATAATGTAGCTATATTAAAAGCTCGTCCTAAGTATACCAAGTTACAGTGGCTTCCTCTTTGCTCAAGGCCATCCATTTAAAAGATAAAATGATGCTTTAAGAATAACTTTTGATTCCTCGTTGAACTTTGAGATTTTAAAAATGCAATGGTCAGTTTCCATTTGTCTTTCTAAGTAATTGTGATTTACAAAGTTGCAGTCCCATATCTGAGGGAACTTCTTATTTGAGACAAAGAGCATTTTTTTCCAGGGACAGGAGATGTTATGCGTGTGTCTGGGACATATATGCCTTGGATCACTCAGAATGGCTCACTGTCTCTGTTAGGTTAGTCATTGCTAATAATGATATGAGCAATGTGCTTATAATTGGCCACGAGCAGGCCAAATGATGTATGCTAAGACTAGAATGGTAAAGATTATTGAAGGAGAAAAAACGCACCGAGACACATTAGCTATTTGGTTTGGTCCTAGATTGTTCATTTTTGGTTGGTGCATTTGAAGTATTTTGTTGATTTTAAGGAAAAGGGCGTTATTTGAAATTGCTGATTTTGGGGTAGATTATGAGTTTCCAGTTGCTTGCTGGTTAGTGATGTTCATTCACTTCTGTATCTGCATAGTAGTATGATTGCCTTTGAAAACTCGAATTCAACAAACACTTGGATTCAACAAAAAGAGATGGATTCCCCATTTTTTTTTTTTTTTAATTCATTAAAATCAATAAAAACAACTCTTTTTCAACGAACACATAAATGAGCAAGTTCAGATTCAATGTAGTCGCTTACGGGGTGAACAGCCTCCGTTGATATGGCTTTGCTCATTTTTCTCAGGCAACAAATTCTATTTATTCCTGGAAACTATCCTTGGTATCTGCATCTTGAACTATTCCTCGCTTAGCCTATTGTTTATATATTATGCAACCAATCAACTACCTTCTTTCATACCGAGACATGCGTTTTTGGCACACACACACACGTGTCTTGGCGTGTGAGGGGCGGCCAGCACACGTGTCACGTGTGACTCTTTGTGGGTGCGTGTGTCTAGGGGGAGCGGGCACACGCAGTCCTAGTGTGGAACATCGGTGGTCAGTAGAGATATGAACACGTTACAGTACTCACAGTCATGTTTTTTCCCCCGGCTACTGATCAATATATTACAATGATATGCTAGTCTGAAATAGATCCACGTAATGAAATGCATGCTGGTCTGTGGAATCAAACGTTGCCGTATGCTGTATACACAGACACAACTTGTTCGGCAAACAATACGTCATAGATAATTATTGATGACACGTGTGCATTTGAGCTAATTGGATCTTTCGCACAGTGTGTGCTTGGTAGAGTTTGGTGTACTTTCCTGGAATTTTCAGGCATTTCTTCAGTATGACATCAAAGAAACGAAAATGCCTCATTTGAAACTAAACTACTTTTGATTAGGAAAGTCGAATACATCAGCTCTACTTTACTTGCTCTGTGCCCTTAATTATCTACACAAAAACCTCATCGTGTTTAGTATAACGAACACTCGGATTCAACTAAATTGAATGTGAAGGTCAGGACCAGCAACTTTGTTGAATCTGAGTTTTACGGTATGAAGGCCATGCAGCAAATGTAAAAATTTCTTACATGTAGTGCAAGTGGAAGGGCTTTTTTCTCAGAACAGCATTTTTTTTAGGAGTTATTTTTCTACTGCTCCTTTTTATCTTCATTCTATTTGCACGAAACTTTCTAGAAGTCTTGGCTCATACAAAGTTGCACACAGTAAGAAATGGCAGCAATTATTTAATTTACAACTGATTGCATATATGAAAAATGAATTAGGAGCACAACTACATATTTTGGTCAGGAAAAGTCCCACAGTAATTTTCCTTGGAAATCTATCACAAAATTTTACAGCATGAAAATTTATAATGAATGTGAACACTCTTGCCAGGTTTGGAAAAAAATGGTCAACAAATACAAAGGCCTTGCTTTAACTTTAAGGATCTGTTTCATATTGTATATTTTCAAGATTACCACCATTTCCACACTAAGCATAAATCAAAAGGCCTATATAATTATCTCTCCATTTCTAAGTCATGTTAATAATTGTTAATAAATTTTTATCTCAGGTTTTTAATACTGTGTATGCAGTGAAGGTCTCAAGAGTAGCCCTACCCTTTTATGAAGGGGAAAAAACCCTGATTTCTTCTCATTTCAATTCAATAAATATAAATAAAATTGCAACGATCTCCTGTATCAGATTGTGTTTATATGAGTCTCAGACATAGTTATTGTACTTAAGCTGAGAGGTCTCCCTTGTCCACATGAAAAAAAAGCCTCCATAGTGGTCATCCTTTTTTTCACCTTCTGTATTTTTTCTTTTTATGTAGCCTACCTAGACTTTGTCCACTTGTGAACAGAAACATGTCTGTTTTAAAGTAAAGATGATATTGGCAAACAAAAAGAGGATTTGCAAAAAAATGTGATTATGCAAAATCTATGCTGTTCCTGAGATTATGAAGATTTGATGGAGAGATGCATTCTCTTTCCCCTTCCCCCCACCTCCCCCAAAGCATATGTTATGTCTGCCCACATGTGCTTGAAACTTGATCTGGTTAGTGCGCAATGGGAACAAATGGAATTTACATGTTATTTATATATATATATATCTGATGTGAAACTGAGTCGAGTGGGAGAAAGTTTGATGAATAGGTGTTAAGTCATGTTTATGTCAGTGTCCATGGTTGGTTGAGTATGTTTTGGCTTGTGTCTGTGTGATCATGAAGTGAATGATTCAGGGCTTTGAGGCCTTAAATAAAATATTCCAATTTCAACTAAACTTGTTATCTTTCTCTTGATGGACGGTGAGTGTTTTTGTCCTGAGTGGTTCATGACTTGGATCTGTGTACCTCAGTATTATCAGTGTGTCCTGGAAATGGAGTCATGTGTTTTGTATATAATTTTTACTTCCTTATCAAGAGAATTTAAGTCATTTAGATGGTAGGCTGCTTCGACCCTGCCTGTTCAGGTCAGTCTGTGATGAGTGAAATATAACATCCAACAGACACAAACTGAATTACTTGATAAGAGAGATGGGAGTGGCACTTCCAGTGGTAGATCTAGTCCTATAACTATAATGTAAAAAACTATGAACGATTGAACGATTTGGTGTGCTGGAAAAGAAGGACTTGCTCTGTGTACACAAACTGTCATAGAGCTGTGCGTGGGACTGGGACATTTGTCAGTCCCACTTCTGGTTCATTTGTCACTCCCATAGAAGTAGAAGGTGTGGGACTGGGAGATTTGTCATAGAGCTAAGGGACTCAGACATAGAACTGTGGGACTGGGATATTTGTCACTTCCATAGAGCTACCGTATGGGACTGGGACATTTGTCACTCCCATAGAGCTACCGTATCATATTTCCACTCCTTAAACCACGAGGAGATTGGTCTTATAGATGTAACTCAATAGAATGACCAAACACAAAATGAGAATAGACATCTGCTTTCCTCTTGGAAAAAAAAAGAAGGGTGATCTGAACATATAACCTCAAATTGTATGGATTGAATTATCTAATTTAACGTATTCATACAAGGTATCTGATCCCATACAATCGGGGGATTCCAAGTAGTGTCCTTTTAGAAATTTTGATTTATAATAATATTGCTCCATTTATTATTTTAATATTATTTCATTATTTTACTCAAATCAATTTTATTGTTAGTATTATTGTTTTTTATATTGGTGTTATGACCGTGTTTCTTCTTCTTCTTCCTCTTCTTCTTCTTCTTCTTCTTCTTCTTTTTCTTCTTCCTTTTCTTCTTCTTCTTCTTCTTCTTCTTCTTCTTCTTCTTCTTCTTCTTCTTCTTCTTCTTCTTCTTCTTCTTCTTCTTCTTCTTCTTCTTCTTCTTCTTCTTCTTCTTCTTTTATTTATCAATATTTGTATTACGATAATCATTAGCATTATTTATTTATTTATTTATTATTTATGTATTTATTTAATTATTTATTTGATGGGGGTTTTTTTTTCTTAATTATCATTAATACTGCCCTTAATTCATAATCGTGTTATCGATAAAAATAGACGGTAACATAAATGATGACACTATAAGGGGGGGGGGGTGGTGAGAAAAGGTGGGGGAGGGGGGGGAGGCAATTACAGCGAATTATAGGCAATTTCCAGGTTGAAAACCATAGATATGGGGTACATAGAGAAGCGGAACCAAAAAATTGGCAAAAAATATTATTAATCCGCATACAGGATAAAAGAGGCTAAAACAGCACCTGGACATGGATGGCTGGTGCCTCTATAAATAAATCATTGATGGTCAGGTCAGGTCTGAGCTACCGTATGGGACTGGGATATTTGTCACTCCCATAGAGCTACTGTATAGGACTGGGATATTTGTCACTCCCATTGAGCTACCGTATAGGACTGGGATATTTCCGATATTTGTCACTCCCACAGAGCTATGGGACTGGGACATTTGGTCACTCTCCTAAAGCTAAGGGATTGGGATATATATAGAGTGGTGGGTGGGACTGGAACGTTTGTCACTCCCATAGAGCTACCGTATGGGACTGGGACATTAAAATTTGTCACTTCCATAGAGCTGTGGTAGTGGGACATCTGTCATTCCCATAGATTTGTGGGGCTGGGAGATTTGACACTCCCTGAGGCTGTTGAAGGTACTAGTAGGTCCTATTTCTTCTTTTTTTCCCTCTGTAAGCCCACTGTAGGGTGTTGTTGTTGTTTTGTTGGGGGGTTTTTTTGTCTGTTTTGCCTTTTCCCTGCTTTTAATTTTAAAAAGAACATTTTTTTATACATGCGCTTCTCTTTTGTCAAACAAATGATTGCTTAAAGCATACCGTAACCATAATTGTCTCATGGAAGATGGCTTGCCCTATGTCTGTCCTGATGAGTTCTTTTCTCTGGGTTGTTCGTTTGATCTTAGAACAAAGTTGCAAGTAGCTCAGTTGTACTGGTTATGAGTAATGGACGATTCTGTGCCGTTCTTGTTGCGTGCACATTTTCGGGGTTTTGCGATCCCCCTCTACAGATACAGAAGTGAAGTCTCGTACATTCATTGTGTTGCTTCTAGAGTGGATTTCTGTATTGAGGTTGCTTGAAAGTCCAACAGTAGAGACTACATGGTGTTCGCAAGTGCACCTAATGATAACAAAAGCGATTATTATTATTATTATTATTATTATTATTATTATTATTATTACTCTTATTATTATTATTATTATTATTATTATTATTATTATTATTATTAAGGGCTACTTCTGGTACTGCGCCGGTGCTTTGCGTGTGCTCCAGTGTGGTTTGCTCCTTCTTTTATATTTTATACATTATATCAAACATGCACATCGTTCCTATCTCTCCACTTTCTTTTCTTTGTATACATTTATGTTAATTACTAGGAACCGTTTAATCTGCGGCACTTATATTCCTTATTTGGGTTGCTCGTGCAGCAAAACCCCTTAATAACACAAAAACTAAAACCAGTACATGTACTGGGCGCTACAATTCTCGACTCCAAACTAGTCATCGGTTACTTTATACTACAAGAATAACCTTTACTCAGATAGAACGTGAAGAATGTTATACTTGGTTTGAAAGATTGGAGTGTCAGGAATAACGCCCTTTTAACCGTATGGGGGGAGAGAAGGGGATTGGACACTAGTTAAGTGTGTACAGGGGGTGGGGGTTGGGAGGGGTTGAAGAGGGCGGGCTATATTCTAAAGAGGTCTTGAGGTCTCAAGTGTTTGCATGGTCGGTGCACCGACCGCCTTTATGTCCCCTGGTGCGTAGCCTGATGTCGGTGTGTTGGTCAAACTCAAACGTCCTTGAGTGGGTGGTTGGTGGGTGCTCTGGTGTGGTAATGCTCCTTCTTTCCCTATCAAACATCTATCTATCGTCCTTATCACTCCTTCTTTTTTGTTTTTGTTACTACCTTGTAACGTCTCCAATCTTCAGCTCTTATATGACCTATTTATGTTGCAAGTGCCTTTATTTCTACTGAAACTAACACAAAAAACACGCCTTTGGCACCACTATACACCGCTGTATGCCGTTCTGACGTAACTCAGACTCGTAGACACCCAAACTTATCGTCATGAGTGTTGCCCAAAACAATTTGTGGTTGAAGCGGTAGTCGCTTGGCCGTCGTAAGCAGGAGACCTAAGTTAGATTCCCATGTGTGAAGAATTTTTGTCGAGTATCACGATTTTAAAATTATTTTTTTTTGCTGGGATGTTGTATCCCTCTCTGACGGGTTGGAACCGACAAGCAGGATGAAGACCTGACTCCTAAGTGATTTAGATTGTGTCCATAGGGGCGCAAAAACACCTACATTTTTAAAAGACTCAATGTGTATTCAGAAAAATGCAAATGCTTAGCCTGACTATTCTCCATACAAAAGCTGTTACACGTACTACTATTACTGTGCCAGGCGCACATGAAAACAGCGTTATCGGTCTAGCGCCAGTCGGTCGTTATGGAAAAAACAACTTTGTTTGAAATACATATATATGTACAACTCCGGGGGTACAAAATGACCCCAGGGCGTACGGATAGGGTTAATAATCCATACCCTACAGGATGTTTTATTCGCTTTGCACCGTGTACTATTCTGTTACGCAGCACTAACGAGGTGCACGCAAAAATATATTTAATTCATTTTGCACTCTGATAACCGAGAGACACGTTCACTGAATGCATGACGGACATGTGTGTGGCATCGTGGTAAAATCAGGCGCTCGTCAAAATAAAGAAATCGAAGAAACCTGCACTTTTTGCACCTAGATAATCTAGACCTCTAGAATGAGAAGAAAAAAAATCTATAGAAATTGCCCACTAGATCTAGATCTAGATCTAGATCTAGAATCTAGATCCATTAAAAAATACTAGTCAGTAGATTATCTGAAATACGTTGATCAAAAGTAAAAGAAATGTAGATTCTAGATCTAGGCCTAGATTGATAAAACCTAAACTTGTTGTTTCCAAGGACACTCAAGCTTTGGAAGTCACCAAACTTTGGAGGCCATTTTCTCGCTATTAGTTTTTCTCTGACACAAGAAGACCTCCGCCTCTTTCTGTTGCAAATATCTCTTCTTCTGTTTAAGATTGTAGGGTATTTTTTATATCCAAAAGAAAGACAAATTTCATTAACAAGCTGTGAGATGATAGCTGTAACTGTAGACCTATATGCCCCAAAATTGACGAGTGTCTGATTCCACCACGTCGCGACACGTTTTTCTCTTCACTTTGCGTCATTCCAGTTCCTCTGGAACGTGAAAACATAGCAGAGAATCACACAGGCTCCATTTCACGTGAGTGTTTGTAACAATCCTTCCCTAAGATTAGAAGTGTCATATAACAAATGATGTTTTATCGTAACTGGACTGTGCAGTTTGAGTTTCGACTAGTTAATTGGACCTCAATTCTCTAGAACTCGCACATCTCATGTGATTAATTGCAGAAACAAAACCCAAAAAAATAATGGTTGCAAACAATTTGAAAAATTGTAAATGACTGTGCAGGCCTAGAATCTAGATCTAGATCTAGATATCTAGATGATCTAGATTTAATATTAGACTTGGATCTAGATCTAGATCTATAGATATACATACTGAGTGTTTTGTCGGTAGAAAATTGGAAAAGATGTTAATCCATAAAATATTTAGTGAACAAAATTTGAATGGGGATCTAGATCTAGATCTAGATTTTAGATCTATATGAAAGATTAGATCTAGATCTAGGCCTATTGCTTGTTGGATTCTTTATTAATCGGTTGGCCAACGGGGCAACCCGTTCTATAGCCCTGCATAGAGTTTAGAGAGCAAATTGTCGAAATATATATAATAAAATTTTGTTTAGGCACCTTTGTGGTCGCTAGTGTGTTCCGACAATGTGATGCCGTGTGTGTCGTCAAATGACGTGTGTACCGTCACTATGGGATGTCCATGCGTGTTGACAGGCGATGTGTGCGCTAATGTGTACCGACACTGTGGCGACCACCGACAACTGAGGCGATGGGGAGACTACAACAGCAACTATTCCACCGGTCACGTGATGCACCAGTCCAGCCACCGGCACCATGGATGGCGTGGAAATCCGCCAGGCAACTGGACCTCCAGACTGACCTGCACAGCGCCAACGCCTCCGTCTTTAGAACTCCGAGAGGGTTCTTTTGGACGTCGAATACTGACAACAGCCCGGATGTCGGCGAAAAGTTGCCGAAAATTGCGCAGCCGACCTCTGTGTACCCCAAGATCCCACAATCTCACGGTTTCATGCCACTCAGCAGCATGGTAAGACACTCAACAGTAGGGTAAGCCGCACTCAGCAGCATGGTAAGACACTCAGCAGTAGGGTAAGCCACTCTCGGCGGCATGGTAAGACATACTCAGCAGTAGGGTAAGACACCCTCAGCAGCTTCGAAAGACACACCCAACTGTAGAGTAAAATATTGTGAACCGTCTTTAAAAGACACACTCTGGTGCTTAGTAAGACAAACTCAGCCGCGTCACACAGCGGCCTGGAAAAACACACTCAGCTGCGGGGTTAGACACACAACAAGCCTTGCGAATTGCAGCTTTGTTGTCAGCGGCCTCCCCCTTTTCCCCCTCCTGTCCCCACCTAACCCCACATACACAAACATACATAGGTCTACTCATACGCACACACGCACACACACACATACATACATACATACATACATACATACATACATACATACATACATACATACATACATACATACATACATACATACATACATA